GAAGTTCGAATACTTATGTTGCTCAACATTCTTATAATTCTCCCAAGCTGTGTAGTAAAATGGAGTCAATGTGTCTTTCAACCTTTCAAAATACTCAAGCTAATCCAATGAAAACCTCCACTACAAGTTCAGCAACGCAAGCATCAACTGTTTTCAAAAATGAGGTAGCCGAGCTGCAATGCGAACTGTCGAAAACACGGAAAAAACTGAATGAGATGAGAGAGCAACTGATTAAAATGGAGGAATTACTGCATATGCATAGACTGCGTCTGTCGAATGCAGAGCATACAAGTACCCGTGAAAGTCCTGCAAAACTTTTCAAATCTCGAATTCTCAAAAGGCATCTGATGTCCACGACTTCTAATGTACATTATTACAAAGGTAATGACTATAGACCTTCTGTTGGAATTATACTACAAAAAATGGGAAATCGAGTGGTGAAGATATTAGACATCAAAGATCACTCAGCTCATAACAGACACCTGGACAAAGTGACAATGAATGAAGTAGGTCGTTCCAATTATAATATTAATGATTCCGCCAATAATCCTGATTTTGTAGATAATTCAGAAATAGGTCCAGATAATACTGATGAAAATAATATCACAGAATCAGTTAGGTCGCAGCTACTTTCAAGCAAACCGAGACATCGTTATAAGTACGCAAGGAGACATTCGACGTGTGGCGGATGTGGTGATTGACAATTTCTATCTCTGTATTGTTTAAATACTTACTGTTGATTTTTAATATTTCATATATGAATTGCATTATAATTCCGCTAAATACAAATTCCTGAATTCCGCCCTCTCTGTGTTTTAGTTGGATTCGTGTAATTCGGTCATCTCGAAATACTAATATTACAATTACAATAAATTAGTACAATACCTTTGAAAATGAAGACGTTGAAAAACAGAGATGTTCGTTCCTGTGCTGAACACAAAGAAAACTGCCATTCCTCATTAATTAATGGGTGTATTTCGAGACACCGGCGGATAACTGTTACCTTCCTGTTGTGGTGGGGCTTGAATACCACAATGACCCTACAGGGTAACCTGACTTGGACTCATGTCCCTGCAGGTCCTACCATGTCAGGAAGGTTGTTTGGATAGCGGTTAAACTAAAAGCAGTTACCATGGGGTACATAGGCTCCAGTATCCAAACGGATCAGATGGCGTATGAACCCATATGGGTCACCGGAAACCATGGGAATGCAGCTCCTGACGCTGCCTTGCGGATTACACTTCAAGTCAAAGGCTCGGGAGGCGGTCCCTTAATAAAACCACCTGCTTCAGTCTGGGCACCCGGACAGTATCTCAGCCCTCACACAATAAATCAAATGAACCAACAAGCAACAAACTGTCAATGAAACTTATGGCGCGCTATTACACAATGATTTCAAGTAATATTGATGCCTCAAGTAACTTGTGTCCTTCCTTTTACTTTTATACATAGTTTACTGTATTTTACCTATGCTAAACTTGACTTCTTAACCTTCGACAGCCTTTCGCTTTTCTCTAGATTCCCAGCCTATCTGTGTCGTTTCGAGATGTCAGTCAGTAATCCTCAAAATAGTTATCCTCAATGTGACATCTAACACAGATATCCTGAAACCACATGCGGCGTTCAAGCTGGTCACCTACAATGTTCGGAGGCCCATGCAAATCGGACAACAGGTAGGGTTGGTAAGAACTTTGGAAAGCCTCGCTATCGATGTCTGCCGCATTTCGGAGACCCGCATTCAAGATCCCAGTGAAATGGTGCCACTATCCTCTCCATCTGGAAGTTCTAGCAGTATGTACCACCTGCGCTTATCCGAGGACACTGTGGCGTCGGCATCCGACATAGCTTGTGTTGTTGTCGCACTGAGCGCCTTTTTCGAGACACATCTATGCAACATAGATTAACAGATTTGTTACACTAGGTGATAAAACAAACAACTAATATTTGTCTGACAAATGCGATGGATAGGATGAATGCAGCAGTTACAAAATACTGTCGAATTCGAGATGATGGCGATGATGAGTAGTCATAGAATCAATCAGTCAGGGAAGGAATAAAATCGATAAAAGTTAGTTCAAAGTTGTAAAATGTGTTGGGTAAGTAAGTAATTAAGTGGCCAGTACGAAATAGTATGCATCAAAATGGAGATAGTATCACCTGTGAATGCTTCATCATGAAATAACTAATAATATGTGAAATGATGAAATGGATCGAGGCATATATTGAGAGAGAGAGAGATAGAGAAAAGAGATCACATCACTAGTAATAAGTCCGAATAGTATAAATGGAGCCTCTTTGAAAAGTCTTAATAATTTGAAGCAGTTTGTTTATAGGCAGGGCAGAAGTATTTTAGATGCTGTTGCGTTACATCATAACATCGTCTCCACGAAACACGAAAGACATGGAGTGCTCAGTTCCAGAGAAAGCTATTCTCATGTATTCGGAATTCAGATGTGATCAGTCTTCGGATATCCTCCAGCAGCCTCTCTTCAAATCAGTCAGTAAGACATTCTCAGCTGGGATATCCCAAATAAATTTTGATGGCCGTAAGTTGTGCTCTTCCTTTGTGAGGAAAATATGCCACAGTCTGGTACTGAAACGGCACAGGCAATACCAGGGGGATAGGATACTACACCTGCATCAACTGAAAGTCAGTGTGTGAAACACACCAAACCTTAAAAGAAACGTTCAAGGCGTCATAAAACCTCGAGGGCGTCATCAAAGAAGGGAGATGAATGTCAGGCGTATAGTATCATAGTTTCTAAAACTGGCTCAGCGTTTGAAAGCTACTTTTGCAAACGATGTGTGCAAAGCCATTGTGACAAAGGGGCACCGAAGGCATACTGTGTGTTTATGAGAAATAACTCATGCCCGTGGTTTTGGTACATTTGTCAACTTTGTCGCCCACATAACGTGTCTGAGGATAGCAGAAACAACGCGCCGCTCTTGTGTCCCAGCACAGTCTCATGCAGCTCCCCACCCGCTAACACCACACTGCCAAAACTTGGGACAAACAGTAAGAAGGAGACTCCAGTCCTACTGACTGGAAATGCCAATTTTCACAAGGTGAAGATTCACACGGTTGTACCCACGACATCAGTAGAAGATAGAATTCCAGAAGAACCACTTGCATCTACTAGCAAGCTTAGCAACACAACAAACGCTGGCCAGAACCTGATGAAGCCTAAAGTTGCTGACGCTGCAAAAGAATACAAGATGCCAAAGGCCAAACCCAAGCCCGAGGCTAGTCGGTCTAATTCTCTTATCCTCTTTAACGTACCTATGAGCAGGGATAACTTGCTTGAACAACGGGCCCTGTTTGATCAGGAACATTGGTCCAACCTGTGCAATAAATTGGGTCTGAACGTTGATTCAGTGAAACTGTGCAGGCTGTACAGGGGTATCCACACGCCTCAGGGTAAGCGACCCCCATTAAGGGTTACACTGGACTCTTCCGAAGGGGCCGAAAGAGTACTATCAATGGCTCGTTACTAGCCATCGACAGAAGTTCGAACATAAGGGTGAGACAAGACAGACCATGAGCTATCAGACAAATGGCAAGGAAGTCACCAGGACTGATGCTTTCTACCTCCATGGTGGTACACGGTGTTCCGAAGCTGGAAACGGGCACTGCTTGTGAAAAACACATGCATGACATACAGCAATGGAGATGGTCGTCATTTCAGAAGGGCTTCCAAGCTTCTGGAGCCATCTCCATTTCCCGACTACCTCGTCCCGCTCATCTCACACTGATTACCTCTCCAAAGCTGCGAAGTATCACATTCAAAAAACCCCGGAACGGTTGGCCATAGCACTTCAACGGTGGTATGAGACCAAGGAAAAATGGGAGGACACATTCGATGTTGCGGAAGCAGACCCTGAACCAAATGGAGGCAGCAAACTGAGGCTTTAATACGTCCCCAAGCTTCAGTGACACTAAAGTGATGCAGTTCTGAGAATAACAGTCTGTGTCACCTAAGTATCCTGCCTAAATCCATGGGAAAAACTATAACGGACCGGTTCCATCGGAATCTGGCGCGTATCTAAGCGTCAGATCGACCACGATGCATACCTGGAACTCAGTGAAATGGTGCAATGCAAGAGGTCATTCAGTCTCGTTTACTAAATGCATGCATCTCAAGCGCTTTTGAGATTTAGCCGTATTGTTACGGCATCCAGCGTACATTTTCCAAGCTGATTTTTCACAGGATGGAGTGAATCTTGGATCAATCACATGCATGCATACTACACAGCTATTTCGTCCTATGCGTAACAAGTTTGGTGGAGGGTGACGCGCAGTGAAATCCACGATGCCCATTCCCTCCTATTTCGGACTCGTTTTCCGACCGGGTGCACTCGCGTTCCCAGTGAGTGATGGTGCCCCCCTCCCCCACAATGAAGCTCAGACCCAATGATTCATCGGACCCAAAAGTCCGGCCTCTCGTGACATGTCAACTTCCAGTACAAATGCTTCGACTATGTCTTAGAAATGACCTCAAGTAATTTCTACAATTAAGTCTAATGCACCGAGTTCATTTCTACCTCAAGCATGAAATAGGAGGTCAGAAAAAATCTACATAAACTACAGGGTGAGAAAGACACAATGTGACATGTGACTGACTACTCAGTTGGTTTGAACCAATAGAAAGCAACAAATGTCAGGAGATATGGCTCAAAACCGTTCTCAATGGCGCAGATCCATTCACTCTCTCTTTCTCTCTGTTATCTCCCAGATCTATTGATCCCTCTCTCATGTTATTATCTCCATGTTACTATTCTGTCTCGAATAAATATCTCATCATTATACCTCTTTCTTTCCTTGCTCTACTTTTGTCTCGTCTGGTACATCGATCATTGTGGCAACCCAAACTCTTCCACTTCTCTACACAATCCAATCTTGAAACTAACTCAGCCACCAACCAACTGTCGGCCATAACTGACGTCATAACGCCTACATTAATTATTAAACCGCTTAAATTAAAATAAAAAGACAACATTCTAGAGGCGAACAACACTTCACTCAATCAACATGGTTATTTCTTCATTCTCCCATTCGACAGTAAATAAAGATAGTACAAACTAACTTGTACAAAAATTATAAGGGAAAATAAAATCTTCATCGGTAGGCACCAACAACAAGCAAAGAAGCGTCACAATCAGTTAACATGCAGAGAATGTTGAAATTCGTCACCCACCCCCATCCATTCTCAACTACTACTACTATAACAACATTTGTGCAAAGTTCTATGTCGAAAACAGACAGACAGACTATAACAACGACGACATGCACATACGACTTAATCATCGGAAATCATCAAGACATTCTCTTTATTCTCATCTGATGATGATATAGCCAACGTCTCAACCAATTGAAGAAGAGCTTCATTTCGTGTATTCCGATTCCCAGTGTTACAGATACGTTTCCCAGAAGTCCATGCAGCCATTGACTCAGAATTATCTCCATCATTTGAATCCAATGCCGTATTGTTGGAATTTCTGTCACAAAAATAAATAAAAAAGTAAGTAAAGATAAATATTTGCCACAAGATTCTGAACACAACCAAATAACAACATAACAACAAACATTGATTGAAGCTCTGAACAAATCACGTAGCAAAATAAAATTGGAAAGACTGATTCATCAATAGACAAAGAATATTCATTCCGACACATTCATTTATATATGACGCGGGCGGGAATCATTGAAGAAATATTGTTATTAATCAACAACATGATGAATGTAGGTAGTATCCACACACACACACACACACACACACGACACCTCAAATGGATCAGTAAGCGAGAGAAGGACAATACTCATTCATCAATACAACACTAAACAGAATATCGGATCAATTGGTTTAGGTCACACTCTTCAATCAATCAATCAAACAATTATCCTAAAGCTGTCAATAAAAACAACGATGTCTAAAATATGAAAATAAGCATGAATCGAAATCTGGTGGTGGGTGGTTAACACAGTATGAAACAGTTAAGCGAATCCTCAACAATCATGACAACGTACGAGTGTATTTTCGGGCAACTAACACCACCACCTTACACGCTCGCTCATCGCTGGTTAGTGAACGTTAAGGGTACAATATAAAAACAAGAAGATAACCAACCAACCAACCAACTGAACTGTGTCTACCAGACCAATTGTGGGAATTGTGACACGCCGTAAATGTAAGAGAATCTTCGAGACAGGTAAATGTAAGAGGTCACCGGATTAAACAATATCTAAAGGTGGTTGTCCCTCCTAAGACCGCTGTGGACTTGACGAAGCTAGAAAACAGATCAGCCATTCCACTGAACTCGATCAAATGGGACACAAGATCGAATCTTGGCGAACTCGCCAATGAACACTTCACTCAAACACAGCGAAACGATTGATAAGTATTTCATCAGTCCATTTCTTAAACGATCCATTCTCTATCAGAATACACAATAATAATGACAATTGACGGAAAATGTGTTATGTGAAAGTAGTAACCTCTGGTAGTTAAATATTATGCTGGCTGGCTGGTCGTCAGTCGAGTAAACACAAAAATAATTCTCACGGCATTAATATTCGCTCACTGTGAACTACACATCACCATCTAAGTGTGCAATAAGAAAGAGGGAGCGATGAGTTTTGTCTAATTCATAAATTTATATATAATAAATTTGAAATCCAATGAAGGATTACCAAAAATTAATCAAGATTACGAAATAGTTCAGAATGATAATACTACTACCCCAAACGTTGTTTTCTTTGATCAGTATCATCAACATGACAGATGAAACTGGGATGTTTCCGCCCGTGACAGACAGACAGTTCGCATCGTATTTCGCTGTAGTCAAGTCACCAAAGTCGTCTACAACAACTATGCACCGGAACACTGTATCCACAAATTGCAAATGCACAAGAAACAATCATCTAACTACTGTCACACTAACTAACTAACTGTCAACTTGAAAATACCAGTAGGTTCATCATATGACGACTGATGACCTCAATTAACTCGAACAAAGAAAGAACAAACATCACGTGTTCAAGAGCATGGTGACTAGCAGTCGAATCTCGGGTTCGGATCCCCTCCTATTTCAGACTCGTCAACTCAATGTACCCGAATTCTCTCTCAGTGAGTGATAGCATAACCAATGAGACTCTCGAGAGGGAGGGCTCACGCCGTCCCTGCCTATAGCATGATATCCGACTGGCTATCGACCAAAGGGCATGTGTGCTGCTCAGCAGTCCGCTCCGTTTTTCTTTATGCCTGTGAGACCTGGCCATTGACAGTGTAAGACATGAAAAACTGACTAGCTGTCTTTGATCATATGTGCCTGTCTGTGTTCTATCCTCCATGTGAAGTCGTATAGTATAATAGGGTGAGGACTGTTGAGGCAAGTTCTCCGTCGAGTGAGTGCTAGGTAAAGAGGCGAAATCATAGACGAGACTGTCAAGTTACACCGATTCAGATGGTTAGGACATGTGTTACGCATGCCTGGCCTAGCCTAGCATAGCCATCGCATACCTTCCTCGACGGGCAATATTAGCCGACATGCAGTTAGGCTGGAAAAGAGCTGCTGCTGCTGCTGGTTGTCAAACCAAAACATGGCTTCATCAATCAATGAAATAAATCCACAACACTTGATTTAAGTCATTTAGGAGGATGTAGAATTCCTGACTCGCTGGTTGGGGTCCTCGCGACAGTAAACACCAATGACGGCTGGAGACAATTGGTCATATGGCTCAAAATCCTCGTTCTCAACGGCCAATATGCATTCACTTCTATTACTATTCTCTTGCCTTCTGACTCATATCTATCTCTGTTCACTGTCTCTATTCTGCGTCTCTTTTTTTACTTTATTCTTCTACTCTGGCTTTGTGTGCTACAACATGAAGGGAGTGTGGCGACTTGAACTGTTGCACATCGGTGCAGTTTCGCTTTCCACCACCAACTTCTACTAATGAGATGAATTTCAGTGAATGAATTAGAGTTTTACTCAATTGGTTGTCTGAGTCATCATTCCACTTCTAACATTCACTCCGTCCTATTGAAATTCCCATCAGAATATATCAGGTATACATTTTACTCTGTTCTGTTATTCGATCCGGCATGCATTCTATCATCTCTAGTCTAGTCTAGTCTATCCTTGTATCTATGTCAGTCAGGCGGTAGTTTGCACTTCACTTCATTTCACTTCCTCAGCCCACTACTTCTTGTCTACTTTCACCTATAGGTAATTATTAGCTATTCCACCACTTTCAATCGATAACTCACTCGACTCCACTGTCAGAAAACTACATTCATCACAATCTTCGTCTACGTACGTTGTATTCAGTTGACAAGAATCAATGGAAAGGATTGAAATGAGCTCGTATGTATCATCATCGTGCAAATATGATCGTTCTTACATTGTTCGAACGAATCAAACGGACTCGTTGCATCATTACACTATCACACGACTCAATGAACACGTAATAATAATAATAATAATAATAATAATCCAGTGCTGTTTTACCACTCTCACAGTAAAATATCTATTCTCTCGTCAACACTTCTTCTCACTCCATCATCAACCAGAGACATGCAAACTCTAAATCTTTTCTGCAACCCTTGTAATTCCCATCAACTGAAGCATTGATCACAAAGAAAAAAGAACATACACCAATAATACACACAATAAATCCCTTCACATGCTTCGAAACATACCTCTTCTGACTATTCTGTGAACTGAGAACAGCACCAGTACTGCCCCTGAAAAGTAAACACAAGATTAACATTATTAAGAGTTTTCCCCTTTTTCACCAGAAAATTAATTCTAAACACACAATACTACTAATTTCAAAAGTGGTTAGGAACAATAAACCAGCTACCTTTGGAAAAATGCTATTTTTCGTCTTCTTCGTCAGGTTAGTTATATCATCACAGCACCTGACAGTGAATCGCATTTCTGTCTCCGTAAATATATCACAGGCAAATACAGGTAAGCAGTATTTATATGACGAAAAATAGCATCACACGTAGAACATTATTACCAACTAACTCTGTGAACAAACTAGGAAGTGTCACAACAGACGAACAACTTGTTTCAATTCATAAACACACACATAAAGCAATGCATTAATTAATTATAAATGTAATTTGAAAAACATCTCTTCCTACACGTACTGCGATGAATGAAGTTGCTGAATCGGGTTCTTCGGTAGGCTGTCAATGCAATATTCTGAAAGAGGACAGTGAAAATAAAGAAAACAGTTTTCACTTATTGATATAAGTTGATTAATTATTATTACTCTCGTTTTATGGCTTTGCGTTCTGAGTCGACCAGGCGGCTCTACGCCTACCTACCTACCTGTCTGTTTGTCTGTCTGAAATTCCAGTTTCAGTAACAGCGATGTTTCTTCTTTACGAGACACTAAATTAACTGTGATGTGAGGCTTTTCTTTCCCTTTATAACTGACTAGTCAAGGGATACTTCACTTTCCAATAAAACAAGATATTTAGTAAAACTGATCTTATCGAAATGACAATGTACTACAATAATGACTCAAAACTACCTGAATATATTAATTAATGCACGTTCATAAACAAACACCCGTTGACGAACTGCTGTAAACTCATAACACCTGTATAGGCAGGTACACAACCTACTACTACTTCGGATTGTCAGTGCGTGTAACAACTAGGACCACGATTCATGAGTAACAACAACACTTACTTATCACCAGTGTGATCCCCTTCTTCTTCTAGACGAGGACACTGACAAAATGCAGTCTTCTAAACATCTTCAGCTGCAATCTACGAATGTTTCGCATGCGATTCGCTCCCGCCAAATGCAAGATGATGTTACAGGACTGGACTACACCGACTCCTAAATTAGAAATAGGGAGTGAAGTGGTAGAGCACTTTGACCGCTTCACTTATTTGGAAAGTACCATCAGCCAGTGCCAACGGGTTGATCTCTGACGAAATCTAAGCACGGATACAGGGGGCTTGTTTCACATTTGCCAGTTTACGCCGCCTCTGGCGTAGACAAGATATCCGACTATCGACCGAAGGGCGAGTGTACTGCTCAGCGCAGCAGTCCGCTCCGTCCTCCTTTATGGCTGAGACCTGGCCACTGAGAGTAAGAGACATGAAAAGATTAGCTGTCTTTGATCATAGGTGCCTGCGTTCTATCTCCCGTGTGTGTTAAGTGGCATAATTAGGTGACCAACATTGAGGTTAGGCCTCAGTCGAGTTCTAGGTAAACAGGGGAAATCAATCGACCAAGTCGTGAAATTACAAAGACTGAGATGGTTAGGACATGTGTTACGTATGCCTAGTCATCGCCTTCCTCGACGGGCAATGTTAGCGGATATAGGGTCAGGCTGGAAAAAAGCTAGCGGCGGTCAAACAAAAACATGGCTTCACCAGTCAATGAAATCTACAACAGTTAGTTTAGGCCTGCCACGTGAGAAGTTGTAGACTTCCTGGTTGGGGTCCTCGGGACGGTGAAAATCAATGGTTGGAAACAATTAGTGATATGGCTCAAAATCGTTCTCAACGGCCAGCGCAGATGCATCCACTTCTTGTGACTTATGATTTCCAATGAAACTGTTTTGTTCTTCGTTATTACTATTCCTTTGTCTCACAACTCTGCTTACTGTCTCTATCGTGCATTTTTTCTATCTTTTTCTCTTGCTTTGTGTGCTACATGGAGTGTGGCGACTTGAACTGGCGCACATATGTGCAAAGTTCTATGTCGAAAACAAACAGACAGACAGTGATCCCCTAAAAGCCAATACGCAAATTCTGGGCACAGATTAACCTGGACCTGTCTGTACGTAATACTTCTAAAACCATAATTTCATTTGGTTGAGGTAAATTCACAAATATTCTGATAGTGATACATTGGTAAAACAATAAATGCTAGTTTGAGCTCTATTCGGGTAGCGCTAACAACATATGTAACTCTCGCCTATCATAGTTTATCTACACATTGATGGGATTCTGACATGGCAGAGGCGCGCCACCCTAACGTCGCCACCAAAATGACAACAAGCACGTTGACCATTCTCAGCCACTTAGTCTCCCAACCTGGGGAGGACCCACGTTTCATTCCTGGGTCGAGGAGGGGTTATCGAGAAGAATTCTCAGAAGAATCCCACCAAATGGCACGAAACAACCCTCCACTGGCTGCTTGCTTCTCAATCACATCTCTAAATCTAACTCCTCTTGACGAAAATATAACAACTGCGATCACACTTGCAATTCATTGATACATTACACATTAGCCAATGCCTCAACGAACATAATCTAATCTCACTCTACTTTTCTTATCAATACATGCGCACATAACTACGAGATTCATGTACTCTACGATTCGCCTATCACAAAAACAAAAAACAAAACGCAATGAAATGTTTCCTTCACAGACAATAAAACTGTGCGTCAACAGTAACAACAAAAACGACAACAACTACGGGGGCAAAAAGAAAGAAAAACTCACTAATACTTCTGCCTAAGAATCGTAAAATAATCGACGATAACACAGAATGATTCCCGTTACTATCCACAAAAATCGCCCCGAGAATTGATTCAAATACATCGGCTAAAATTTTCACATTCGATCCCTCACCAACCTTCTTCATCAGTAGCTATGTAGTAAAGTGAAGTAAATTAAGTAAAGTAATAGAAAGCAGTATGATGGACATTGTGACAGACTTCAGTGACATTGTAAGAGTCAATATTTACACACACACACACACACTATGCACAGACAGTTAAGTGAATTGTCACCAAGGTTAATCGGTTTACACTTCGTCAATATCTTCATTTGACCGGTACAAGACTAATATCGTGATTAAAAAAGCCACATAAATTCCACTCGCTCTTTTACACTAATCACATACACTTGATTTAGTATACCTACCTTAATGAAAAATCATGCCAGTCCCGGAACTGACAAAAGTAAATCCCTTCTAGGTTTTTCACAAAAAGCCGTATCTTTCTCACAATACCTCTGTGCTCCACCAACTTTTGCTTCGTTGAAATGTGCAGCTCTAGCCTCTCGTTTTAGACGGATCAACGATCAACGTGGGTGGTGGTTAACAATAATGAAGGATAGATACTAAGAACCAATGACTACCAAATGACTGTTGTCGATATCACTCTCAATGGCGTGGATGCCTTCCCTCTCTATGATCCACCACAACCACTAAATCGTCTTGCTTTCCCATGTGACTATTCTGTCTTTCTCACATTTCTGCTTGCTATCGTTGCTTTCAATCTCTGCGCGCTCGCTCTCCGTTTGTGTACAACATAGTGTGTACAACAACTTGAACTGTTGCAATTCTGCGCACACCCCACACCCCTATGTTGAAGCCAACTCAGTCAGTCAATGACAATAATCAACAGAATTAACCAACAACGGCTGTTGACCATCACAGATACAGATGGTTACCATATGTGTAACCCACACAACACTCAGTCAACAACTTCCTCCACAGGAAAAGTTAACTGAAACACAAATAGCATGAAAAAGCAAGGACGGTCGGACTAAAACATAACACACCGATACATGAACAACTTGCTTTACACATCTCACTAGAAACCTTTCCCCTTTACCGAGCTTACTCTACACCAGCTCGGTAGGGAAGCGAACCAGCACCACCCGTGTGGCAGACAGAGAGCATTCTACCATTGCACCACCCATCAGAGGGCACACAGTAATACACACCCACTGACTCACCAGTCATACATTGATGGTTTTCAGATGAGCCGAACACACCGACCCTTAACTCTTGAAGTAAGTTGAAACCACCAGTGCATGCAGTGTCATCCTGTGCCACGGCGCGACCACACATACAACAGCCGTCTCTCCCGTCCGACTAAATTGCTCACCAAAACCTACCATATTAAGGCTAGTCTAGACTGGTGGTGGTTCAGGTCAGAGAAACAACTGACCTTCACATGCTCTGTCCACAAATCACGCCTGCTGATAAATATGTATATGGAGACTGTCATCAAATGAAAGCACGATTTCAATATGCTGCATTATATTTCCGAGCTATTTGCTGATAATCTCCTCCTGCACTCACGCAGCACGATACAGATAAGTAGATAGCCTCGAATACACACATGGTCTTTACATTTTCGCTTTCAATACTTACAATACACAAGCGATTTACTCAGGCGATTGATTGTCTTTAGCAGTGACGATTATTAGCATTACCATGATAAATGAACATATAACGCACTTTAGCCTGGTGGTGGTATATATAACTGTTTGATTAGCTAGCCTACAACTCCACATACATATATAGTCAAGACAATTAGCAATAATGAACAACCCAGATATAAATCTCTCAATTTACCTCGATACGTTCACAAATCGAATCGGTTTGCTGATGAATACTTTCTATGTCATCAATGAAAGGCTTTATATCACAAACGCCCGAGTCAATAAATGCATATAGTTCATTCTCGACTACAGTGTTGACCAAATTGTTATTACTCACGATTATGGATCGCATTTTGCTCAGTTCACCTTCAAATTAAAGTGGGGAAAACAGGAAAAGGAGAGAACATACTTCATCTTCACTTCTTAACGTCGACACATGCACGAAATACAATGTGAGATATTTTATCACTTGGAGGCATCATTGACATCCAGCCAACAATGAAATACAGATAAGTTTGTAATAAGCCATTATTGCAGGAAAAAGTGGAAAACTGTCTCCGACTTTCTCTCTCTGTCTTTAAGAAGCTTGAAAATCCCCATTGAGTTTAATGAAGAAGAAGAGAAGACGTTCAGCGAAGAGAAACTCTTTTCGATGGCGAATTCATTCACATAGCTAGCTGTACAATCGCATTTATATATAATTATTTGTGTGTGTCTGTGTGTACATGAGGTTTGTCAAATTTAGATAATTGATCAGGTAATGCCAGAGTGATATAATAGAGAAACAAGGTTAATTAGACAGCAACTAAAGTAAGATTGAGTTAGTTAGTAAGTTAGATGACGACGTAATGTAATTGACTAAAATGCTTCAACTTAGGTCAGGGTAGCAACAGAGGTGATTACAGGTAGAGATGGAGACTAAGTAGAAGTGGGGTAGGGAATAATGCCATTTAAATTAGAACTGAAATTGAGCAAATAAATTGGATGACGTAACATAAATGAATGACTAGAAATTGAGCATTGGTCAAGTCAGTAACAGTGGTAGTGAGGTGTAGAAATTAAATCGGGTGGGGAGGAGTAGAGAACAAGAAATTTGAAAATGCAAGATATTACAATTGAGAAGACAAAATAATACTAATGAAGAAAGAGAAAAGAAAAAAAGATTAGGTAGAATTTAATTGTCGGGTAATAAGATAGGTTACGTCCATTGCACGTGTAGTGATTGAACGAACTTCTTCTATATGCAGAGTTCAGGGCCTAGCAAGTGAATCACCATTGCTTCTGCAGTTTGAAGAAGTCTGATTAGTACGCCTTTAAGAAGATTACTTCTTACTCTGTTGACGACTTTAAAGTTTGTTTGGGTGCTACCCTGAGCTAAGCTGAAACATTTTAGTCAATTATATTACGTCGTCATCTAACTTACTAACTCAATCTCACTGGCTAATTGCTGTCTAATTAACCTTGCTTCTATATTAGATTATTCTTGTATTACCTGATCAAATATCTAGACTTGACAAACCTCATGTACACACACACACACACACACACACACACACACAAATAATTGTTTGTGAATGCGATTGTACAGCTAGCTATGTGAATGAATTCGCCGTCGAAAAGAGTCTCTTCGCTCAACGTCTTCTGTTTTTGAGAAGTCTAGTGATTCCACTTTTTATGTATAAAAATAATAAATCCACGCTTAGACAACACTCAGGAAACAAGTAGCTGCAAAGTCACCACACGCTCAGCTTAACAGTTCACAACACCAGGTCTGTAGTATTTCAAGGGAAGTGATTTCAGACAGACACCAGAAGCCTTCGACCTAGGCTTCGTCCTCCTTCGCACTTACTTGTCAGTCAGCAAGGCGTATCGCAAATCTTCAAGGAATTCATGTCCATTCTGAGATTCCAACCCAGGTTACCCACTGAATCGTACATGTCAGAGACATTTACAATCTGATAGTCAACCCCACGAATCACCTCCACTAGGACTGTAATGGATACTTTGATTGGACACTAAGCAGGTAGTAACTAGTGTCATGCATCCCATCCTTTCGTTTGGTGCAGACTGAATTCTCCTCCTACAAAGAGACTGGCTGTATACTAGTTCTCCGTCAACATGGCCGCCAACGTGGTGACTGATAACTCACCAACTCAGAAACGAGAAACTCAAAGATAACTAACTGTCTTACTTGGTGGGATTATGCTGTGTGCCAAAAACACTCTAAAATAATCATACTACCTATTGATCTGCTTCTTTTCTGATGTACTTCTGAAATGGAGTTCATTGGCTCAAACACTCAGTTCTGCATTCAAATCTCACTCCACCTACTTCAGCCTTCACGAAATAAGTGTGCATCACAGCATCATAGCAAGTGGAAACCCTGTTTCGGATGACTGCGCTCCGACAACAACAACATACAACGTTCTTCACTCACTTGTCTGTGACCAACTATCCCTGTGATTATCATTCACATTCATTCTGTTTCCTAGGTGATCTTCATACCCGTCGACATCTACTTCGACATAAATCTGTTCATCACTATAAATATTTCAACCGAGAACCGCTATCCATTGACTTCTCGGATTTTGCAATAACTTAGATAGTTAACTAACTTAGCAGACTTTCATTTCGATGGCATTTTATGGGGATCCTTGTGACTATATATGACTTGTTGTGCGTGCCATTAGCAGTACACATGCATATTCCTCGGTAGATTAATCACTGCACACATACATACATACATCATGGAACAACGAAGAAATGACACGTCATCCACTGACCATTTATCCTTTCATGAAATAACAATTCTCATATCTGTAAAACACTTCAATCGGGTGGTGGTCAACATTAGTGTGAGTTAGTTGATAACATACCCCAGAACAATGACGCTGATTGTAGCGTTCTCGTGTTCACGTTATCACACATAAGTGACATGATGGCCTATTATTTACATACTTGACATCATATTATCCATCGGTGAAAAATTCTATGAGGTATTCATTTGAACAACTTCACGGTTCTCACTACTCTGTGACAACAGTGTGAATGTCTGTCACACAAACTGTAGAGGCGGCGGAATATTTTCAGGCTATCCCCTCCCTTTCATCAACTCCAACATCAACATTTTGAAAAGAAAAAGTCGCAAATTCATAACACAACAATCATTTCACTTCAACTTCAACTTACCTGGAGAAGCATGAGGACACTTTTTGAACAGGCGATTGCTCACAATGAAACCCAGAACCGAATCACCGAGAAATTCCAATCTGGTTACAACACAACCACGATAAATACGAGGCAGATGACACACAAGTGTTCCATGAAAAAACAAAACAACAATATATGAAACAATGGAAAGAAGAGATGAAAAGTCAACAGTGGCAAAACTTCACCAACACAAGCACACACGACACATCAAATCTGCATTCATCTCATTCACTTAAGCACAACAGATTAGCTACAGTCTACGTACAAAGAAATTCGCTCAAAGACACTTGTCAGGCGTCAGGCCCTGGATTTTATTTCAAGTCAACAACTTGTCCAATTGCTCCACAAGATACTAGTCATCTCTCTCCGTGTAATCGCCCCATCATTCTACCTACCCACACCCCCAACAAAAATAAACAATGTCACCGAGACAATTCACACAAACGCATAATCACAACCTTATAAGTGACTGACATTCTCCGCTGCTCTCAAAATATTACACAAACCCACAACAATCATTCTCCATAAAGTAAAACTCACAAACATCACATCAACACTATACAGCCTATTATAATTAAATGTGTAACCACAAAGTAACCACACATACAGACTGTTTAGACACTAAAAACAAGTGTGTCACATGTCTACACACACACACACACCTTGTTTAAGTGTGAGATTAGATGTCTTCTTATCAATGCTCCTCCAGCTCATTTACTACACATTTCAACGGGTTGAAGTAGGTGGAATGGGATTGGAACTTGTCACACATCCATCGTCTGAGAATCAAGTGCTTACACGTATCTACAAAACTGCTGTACCGGTTTATGCTGGGTGTCGTAAGGACAATTCATCTTCAGAGTGGTTAAATTCCAAGAAAGTCAAACATCCACGAAACATACGCAACATTAATTCGCCAAGCCCCATGTCATTTGTAATTACCTGTCTGAAACACAGCTGGTGTGATCACGTGTCAACACTACAACTTGCAATAACTTCACACTACAATTGATAACCACATTCGTGTTGATTCTCTCACTTACTTCATGGTAGCCGAGGCGTACTTGTTGGAACCAGATCAAATTCAAACAGATACTATTTCATTTGACATGAACTGCTTCTGATATGAGATGGTCTTTGTTGTTTCTAAAATTCTTGATGGTCAAATTCGAAGAAAGTCAAACATCTACACAACATACAGTAATTTCGCCAAGCCCCATGTCATTTGACATACGCCACCCTAGAGTTCATGATACAGGGGGAAATCACGTCCGTCACACCTCCGCCAGCAACCACACAACTACTCAGATACACGAACTTATCAATAACTTCAAGCGGTCTACCTACTAGAGTCAGTGCAGGTGCACACTACTACCAATCTGGTAACAGCACCTTGCACTCACATGGCGAAAAGCACATACTATACTTACAGACACTGATCTCCAACCGATTAAGCGCCATTCCGGTAGTCTACATGCTATCGCACAATAAGACGATATCACCTGCATTCTCGAGGTCGAAAAGTCTTCCTCTGGGAAGCAAATCTACACCGCCAACACGCACGTCTTTCACAGATGACTCCAGAGTGTCATCTATCGCAAAGTTTAAGATAAATAGAGAGATCGGACATACAATAATTCATCAGTCTCTGAATGTGATAATGTAGTTAAAAAACGTGGAACACCTTGTCATACTGGTGGACATTCGGGTCAACTCACAGGAGCTGGAAAACACTGATTCCAATGCATGCATTGGTTGCCTTGTGAATCTGACTTCAAGACAAAGGCTCGGAGAGACGGGCGGCCACTTTCATTCAATCACTCGCGTCAATCTGTCTGTACGTCCGACCAGTATCTCACAACCCACACACAAACTATCCGATTTTGTGTAGAGCATCTCTTCGTACCCATATATAATGTGTCGGATTTATGTTTTAATCAATAAATAAATAAACAAACAAATAAAAGTGCGCACTACTACTCACTCAATCTAAGTCGCCAAATGTTTTGCATTAAGAGAAACACATATTTTAGAAGAGAAAGAGGAGAATCAACTACACTACAGCTTACCTTTGATAATTTCCCCAGTACTCTCTGTTAGTTGATGACTGGTGTGTCATAGCTGTAGCAAGTAATTCAATATTTCTAAAGCGATAATCCAATTTCAATTGTAAATCAAAATATTTCTCATTGAGATCTCGATATATGCAAGTGGTCAGTGAATTCTGTGATGATACACGGAGAATTTGGCGTCTGGAATTTGAACTGCTAGCAATATCTGAGTTTTCTGAGTGAAGAAGGTAATGCCATGGAGCATCAATCTTATATTCTGTGTCACATTTTATCGTATTCCAATCCACCGGACATATCTGGAGATAGTATAACAGATTTACAGCCGATGGTAGCCCGATGTGCACTACAAAGCATCCTATCAAGGCTTCAACCATATCCGCTAAAGATTTGTTATATAGGCGGATATATAAGCGATCATCGTATTTAGAAACCTGTAGAAAAGCCAACACACAATAAATTGACACGACTTTCATACTCCCTCCTAGTAAGAAGTGAAAAGAGAGCTATGAAAGCTATCGGAGACAAATACACTACTCAAAAAAAGTATTTTACTGGCCAGATTACCACACCATGAAAATCAACAGTGAATAATCCTCATTTATACAGACTTCAAACTGGACGACTGCAATACTATCACACTGATTCCGATACACCGAGTGTAATCCACAGGCTGTTCACCCCGATAGCTGGACACGGACACACACACACACATGGACGAAAATCAAACATTCTAGAGGTGAACAACAAAATAGCAATGCGAATGATTCTAGAAAAATACAAGAAGAAAGCACACGAAAGAACAAGTGTATAGCATCCAATTGTCAGTCGACTGATAATGATGACGAACTTCCGAAGTGACAACAGGTTAATCCCTATGTGACAGCTCGTAGTTTCACATCTTTATGCGCATCATCGTCCGCTCCGTCCTCCTTTATGGTTGTGAGACCTGGCCACTGAGAGTGGAAGACATGAAAAGACTAGCTGTCTTTGATCACAGGTGCCTGCCTGCGTTCTATCTCCCGTGTGTGTTAAGTGGCATAATAAGGTGACCAACATTGAGGTTAGGCCTCAGTCGAGTTCTAGGTAAACAGGGGAAATCAATCGACCAAGTCGTGAAGATACAAAGACTGAGATGGTTAGGACATGTGTTACGTATGCCTAGTCATCGCCTTCCTCGACGAGCTATGTTAGCGGATATAGGGTCAGGCTGGAAAAAAGCTAGCGGCGGTCAAACACAAACATGGCCTCACCTGTCAATGAAATTTACAACAGTTAGTCTGAGCCACGTAGGAAGGTGTAGACTTCCAGGCTGGGGGTCCTCGGGACGGTAAAAGTCTATGGTTGGAAACAATTGGTGACATGGCTCAAAATCGTTCTCAGTGGCGCAGATGCATCCACTCCCTGTGACTTATGATCTTCAATGAAACTGTTTTGTTATTCTTTATTCTCCTTTGTCTCACACCTCTGCTCACTGTTTCTATTATGCTTTTCTTGTACTTTCTTCTCTTGCTTCGCGTGCTACACGGAATGTGGCGACTTGAACTTCCGCACATTTGTGCAAAGTTCTATGTCGAAAACAGACAGAGATAGAGAGAGGCATCATCGTATACATGCGCACAGTGCTTGCTAGAATCACCAGAGATATGTTCACTTCTTCACATACATCTCTCGTCAGGTCAACACTGGAAAACTGTATCCAGGCCGCAAGCAGTCCTTGTCTTCACGAGGACTCACACACACATTCAAGAAGCCGTTCAAAGGAGGCCGATACGTATGATTATTAGCAGTATGACCAACTTATCATATGACAAAAGACTACACACTTTGAATCTTTTCTCTCTCTCACCGTGTCACAATACTGGCAGAGAGCTTATGATAGTCTTCAGAATTTCCAATAATCACTACGCACCCGGTCTGTCCTCTCTTCTCTCTTCTACCAGACCACGTCAGAACACCTCACAAAAAATACTAATTGAGTTCAAAGTCGTGTCAGCACCCTCAATTCATTTATTCAAGAAACCACAGAAATTCACTACAAAACGGTTAACATGGGCTTCAATTCAAGCCTTCTATCCTATCCTATCCTCAGTCAATAAATCGGAATCGGAACTAATCACTTGCACGCTTTCTGTGCAGCTATCCAGAAACACACAGCACGAAATTAGCAATCTCTACCATATGAGTTTTCAACTTGAATAACTATACATATACATACATACACGAGTTGAAATGCTCTGAGAAAACGTGAAAATACGAACAAAGATTACCACAACAGCCACTAACCTCAGAAGAAACAGTGTAGCACGGAGGAACAAAATGTTCTGATGGAGAGAATACTCGACCAGTGCAATATCCATACCATGACAAATTTCGAGCAATCTCACACAGGTGAACATTTGATATAAGTGAAGCTCTTTTGCAATTTAAGTGACCTTCACCTGCATCCTGTGGACTGGTGTGGTAAACACTGAGCGTAGACATCAAATGCAGAAACGAATCACCATAAAATTCCAGACGCTCGAGATTCACTGCATCACGAGCACCTAACAACGTAGTTGGCTCGATCAAGTCACTGGGTTGAGGACAAACTGTTCCAACGCCTCTGCATTCACTTGCAGCTATACTATCCATCTCCTGGTCCTCTTTCGAAGTTTGTTCATCTACTTCAAAATCAAACATAGATGCCTTAATCGGTTCACCGTTTGAGGAATCAGTATCACGTAGACGGTCGGGCACAAAAACGGTCACAGCAGAAAGAGAATCATCTGTCATATTGGATGGATTCGTCATTTGACAGAATGGTTTGGGATTCTTTAACTCGGAGGCCAATTCTGTGGATAATTGTGATGCCAACAATGCCCTTGTCATCTGATGAAAAACTGCAGGTATCGTGGACACCAGAAACCAAAGCCAGGAAGATAATGGGTGTACTAAACACCCTTCACATACAAATGCTGACTGTATGGGGAGTGGTCCACCCTTTCGTAGACCCGCACCAACTTGGGTGCAATTTTGATGACGTGTGAGCCGTGACGTCCTGCACAATGGCATTGAATTATCAACGGGTAGACCTCTCATCACGGGATACTTCCTTCTGTAAAAATCTAAATAGGTCACTTCTCCAACATTTTGTGTGTTACTGAGTTTCGAAGCCACATACTGCGGCACATAACTTACAGGGGTTTCTGGACACACCTCTGAAATCGCAAACATACCAGGATCCTTATCTTCAACGTGAATAGGTCTGACAACTAAACCAAGCCAGTCTTCTCGAGGTATTTCACTCAGCCTGACAGGCCAACTAGGCAAAATACCACGGACAGGTCTGATCTTCACTGATCCACTCGTGTTGTTGTTTTTAATGTCCGAGGAGAGCGAATTCGTACGACAAATTGACCAATTTACAAGACTCTTAATGCCTTCGTAATCTATGGTACCTGCTAAAGGAATGAAAATGTAAAAGACAAAAATCAAGCATCAGCATAATAGGACAGACACCCTGGAATTACTTATACAATCATTATTCAAAATTCGTATTACAAATGATCTAGATTTAACTCAGGTCTCTCTCTCTCTCTCTCTAGTAATTCCATAAAACCCCCACCTCACATAGAATCTACTAATTCTAATCTAATCTACATAAAAACACCTTGTACATGTAACCAACTTCCACTGCAAACAACACCTGACATGCATACATATATACAGGGATCTCAAAGCTCGTTGCAGGTAATCCACACAAAACTGTTGATCTAGCTTCTCTTCTTATTGCCACTCGTTACCAAAGTGTGTCTTCAACTAGGCACTGATTCTATTCACAGACGACTCCAAGCCGTATCACACTACTGCAGTCACACAGATGACACCACTGAGCCAATTCGCTCGATAATTCACTTTATAACTAGCCATAATGCACCTATCGACTGGTCATTAGGGTATCACAAGTGCTATCAGTGGTTACTCTCCACACATCAATTGATGAACATAAAAAGCAGTGAAAAAGCCTACGCCCACACAAACCATCATCAGAAACATTCATCTCGCATATTGTGAGATCTATTTTCATGGAGGATTTCATCATGAGTTGATATCAGTTAGAGAACCACTGGAGAAAACCAACTGGGAGTACTGGACAGCTGTTTCGTCCGAGCTTCGGACTCTTCAGCAGTACGCACCCAACGGCCCTACTCCGTTCAGGCAGTTAACCTGGGGTTCTACTGGGAAGTAGTGACCAGTAGGGTACAGCAGGTTGAAGATGAGGCATTGACTCATCGGAGAAGACATTGCGAAATGGTCGCGCTATGTCGTGAATTCACAGAAGTTAGAATTCAAGAACTGGCCATTGGATCGGGTCCCAGTGACTCAATGGTATACGTGCACACCTTGTAACCAGAAGGTCCTGGGTCCGAACCCTGCTGGTGGGTGCGTACTGCTGAAGAGTCACAAACTAGGCTGACGAAACAGCTGCCCAGTACTCCACTGCTGGTTTTCCAATGCTTCTCTAACCAATGTCAGCTCATGATGAAATTCTCCATGCAATCAAACAAAATCCATACAAAAACCAATACTTGAACCAATACTATTTTCAACATACACTATTTATTAGTAGGTGTTTGTCGACAGATGTGATGATTGAATAGCTCATAAAACTACAAAAAACAGGAGAGAGAAAATTAGTATGACTACCACTACTACTACGACGAAGACGTCGACTAATGATGGCGATGATGATATCCGTCAAATATAAAACTTGCATGACACATTTCAATGAATTTCACCAGAATGGTAAGCATACTTTGATCATTTCAAGGGTGTATCAGTGACGATGTCGACCTCACTCGTGGACTACTACTACCACTACTAATAATAAGGTCCAGTCATCAACAAAACATTCTCGTTGGAGTTAATAATCTTATTGGAAGATAATCACTCAAATTAGTTAAATAAAAAATATGCACAGGTTCAATGAAGACCACAGAATTCAAACACGCATGCAATATTTCTACGCCATTTACATAAATATGATATGTCCAGCTCATATTGCACATTTCATCTACACTGTCAATATCATTTTATAAAAGTCCGACTGACAGCTAGCTAGCTACCAACCACCTCAATGCTATGGTGAGGCTTGCATACTCTACCCTCATCGCTGAGTGACAGTAACTACGACGAATCAATGCTTCTGAAAATACTGTCAGTCTACATAGGTCGGTTGGATAGCGAGTGATAAATAAATGGCTAAAATCAACTGTCATTATAGACTTGACTACTTCTTCGACTGCTGGAGGAAAGAGTCTAACAAAGGTGAGCGGATCTATTGGACAAGCAACACTCAATTTATGCTAGACATTTAATCCTCCATTTCATCTATGGTAACCTGAACAGTTGACGTGAAGTCTTTCACAAGGACAGAACACGAATCGTGATATTTTAATGCACACCACACTACATTCAAACAATCCCATCAGAAATCCTCATGATGCTACAAACACGTAAACTCAACAGGTTTTTCACTTTACATACAATCGAAAAACAACAACTTCCAGTATACGGACAGTCAGAAGAAATGAATTGTCTGAATATCTCTGTCAACATCACAACCAACTAACTAACTATGAACAACGCGTGTGGCGACTTCAACTGCCGCACATCACTGCAAAGTTCTATGTCGAAAACAGACAGACAGAGAGAACAACAACCACCTGCTTTCATACCTTTAAATTCTAGGCATCGATACACACCGAACGTATAAACCCTATGCTCCTACTCCAGTTGACTGGACAGCAGCAAGTGTAGTTTTTTCAAGATACACTTCGAACTACATATCAAATCAAACTTCTCAGTATAGAATCAATCAACAAACCGTCACATCACTAGAAAATCGAAAACACTATTGGGCATTTTTCCTGACTGTAGAAGTTCATCAGTAGGTAAGTCGAAAAGATTGCCTTTCTCAGCTTGAAGCCTGAAGATCTCATCTCTCACACAGAAGTAACAATAAGCGCCATAGATTAGACAAACGATACACAAGTTCAAGCACACAATCTGTCAACACACTAAAACATCAAAAACGACAATCAAAACGTATCAAAACCAAAAATGCCAGCTCGAAAAAGCTAAAATAACGACAGAAGCATACTAATTGCCAAACCATATAACATTAATTCAACAGAGGTTATGGACAAATCAGATTACATTAAGAAAGTCAATCAATAAATTCAAATGCATCCGTATGAGGAGATTACGAAACCCACAGACACGCTTATGAATAATAAGCATCAATACTCCAACAGCTGGTCTAATGCACCGAATGAAGTCACCTCTGAGTGAGTCGACATGATTCAACTAACTGACTAAGACTAGTATTCCTAGTAGAATGCATGACATTACTGTCAAAATTCATGGGACAGGATAATCTGTTAGGCCAATAGTCGACTTCAGGAACACTCCAACATATGAACTATCCAAATATTTGGCATCTGTATTATACCCGATCAGATATCGGTCAGACTGCAGGCTGATTAACTTATTTGAAATGAAGTTGAAGCCAGAGGGAATTCAAGTAGCAAAAGATCCACCTAGAGCTACAATTGTCCCTTCCGAAATGACTAGACGTGGGTTCAATCGAATATCTATGTAGTTCAGTTGGGAGCCTAACTAGTACGTCAGATGATTTAAGTGATGAAATAGAAAAATCGAGAAAACAACACCAGTGAACAACTACCCACCAGGTTCTATTCAAGTGCCTGACGTAGATAATGAAAATATAAGTGACAACGAATTCAAAACATCGACAGCACTATCAGAAGACCTACATCGGAGCCTTAATAACACTGAAACTAGACGGACATTTAAACCAACCCATTTACTCACAGACAAACTTTGTCACCTTCAAGACTCAACAGACCCAATTAAGCGAAATACGACTAACCAGTAGATAAGGCCTTGTTATGTTATCAAAACACAGAAATCCCGCTACATCTAGAATCCTTGGCCACACACAGTTAAGTAGTCTCGAGAAAAGCGTCGCCATTGCTATGCATCCACTTGCATGCTATCACACAGTAGGGTGGGACAGGGTAAACGTACTACAAATAAGATCGTTAACCACATCATAAAATAAATTTCTTTCATGACAGCACACAGTGGTGCAGTATTATCTTCTGATGACGTTGCGACCACAATTTATTGCCACAATCATTACGATGCTCATATAACTATCAAACTATCACAAAAAGATGGTTAGAGACAGTCAGTGTGTATATATGTATCATACATATTATAGCCAGTGGTGAGGAAGATCTAATTGAAAAGTAAATATTTCTTCGCTCAATCCTTTGTCTTCCAAATTTCCAAATGGGGATTTTCTTTCTATATAGAAAAACAAGCTTCATTGTCTTGGTTGGATACAGTAAAAATGATGTCAAGCCTCATAACAACCCAACACTGGATGGAGGATGACAATACAAACACGCCTTCCAATCCGCTCTTTCAAAGTGATTCCAACAAATAGCTATTCCGTCGTGCATCCAATGGTGCCAGTTAAAATCACCATTATTTGGACAATGTTGATTGATGCAAACTCACGCAGACCAGACTGCATGATAGTCAACAAGTTCGTCTGTCAAACGCTGACTGAATTTCTTTTAAAAAGCTCATTTAATGAAGAGAGAGACAAAACGAGGACTCCAAAGCTTACCTGGTAACTGAATTAACGTCATCAATGCCAGAATGTTAGCTTTCTCAGGACTGAACACCATATCAGTAAATCGGTCGATAAGTGTAACTCCACAACTTTCAGGAATTTCATTTGGATCTTTCTGTTTCTCCATAAGATCACAAAGAGCCTGACTCGATGGTTTCTGACCAACATGTGACAAATGGCCCATATTTGTAATCAGTTCACATATCACTGAGTGGGCTGATTCTATGCTCTCCAATTCCCGTTCACTAAGTGTAAGCTTTCCAACCAATCGGACACGCGAACGAGCCATACCACGTGTCAAATACAGGGGAATTCGACAAACGTATTCTTTCTGTTTACAAAAAGAAAAGAACACCAAAGAAAGTTCAGCTTCCTCACTTAGTAATTCCGGCTATAATTTCAGACTGTGTCAAATCATATGAAGTCAACAATGTGCAGGTTACAAATGTGTCCTAACACTCCATACTTAAGTAAAACCAACTTCCCTTCATCGTTCAGCTGTAAACTGACTTTCCTGGTGTACAATTTTCTCCATGTACTATGTTACGAGCCATAATCAATAACTGATATCTAACGTGTCAACCCCGTGGAAGCAGATGGAAGTGCTCCAAACCCTCAGAATGTTGATTAATATCCGTGTGCGAAAACCAATGAGACACAATCCCAGAATGCATAATAAGTCTATTAACCGCGAATTATTGAAACTCAAGATTGGGAAAGTAGGAAAATGATCTGAAGACAATTTTGAGACATTACCTCTCCCAGCTTCCTGCACACATTTGTCAGATAACAATGGCTTAACAAAACACGTTTCGAAGAAGTGTTTACCCACATATCCCAATAGATAAGTGTATGCATTTGACACCAAAATCCAACGGCACATGGTGCAGACGCAACAAAAGAAGACAGGTGAGCACAAGTATATCAGCCGTGGAAACCCGAGCCTGGCGGAATTGTCCACCACAATGCCAGTGTCTTTTCAGACAAGATGACTCAAATTCAGTTGGAGTGGTCACCCTAACATATTGACTAGGGTCATTTAGGCTTATTCATCAGGGTAAGTTTAAAAGTGACTGCGCACTCACCACAGTCCCATCCATTAGTCAATTACCACTCTCATGTTGTCGTCCACGAGAATACATGATTTAGTGGACTCAGCCAGTTGTCAGTGAAATTAGATAACTATCACAGTGAAGTTTCTCCATCACTTTTCAACAGAAGTACTAATCAAGGTGTAACAAAGTCGTCTCATTCTTCTTTGTAATTCACTGACTTCTCAGATCAAGAAGGTTATTACTTCCACTACTCTAATTAAATCCAGTCCTAATGATATCAATCCACACATTCAACGCTGTATCCCGTAGTGAAGCTTCGGTTGCACAAGGATAACAGAGGTTACCACTTAAACACTTATGTGAAATAGCACCTCACAAGGAAACGAGACAAAACAAAATATTCACTCAGAGATAACTGTTCATAAAATATGCTTAGAATCACCTTGGAAATCGGTTTCGAAAACAAAAGCCCAATAGCCCCGTCTGTCTTTTCAAAACAAGTCTCCTTCACCCAGCAAAGCTTGGCAACGACATCAGGTGCAGGAACAGTCCACGTATACAAATACACTGTTGTTCCGTGAGACGGTAAGGCTTGATATGGAAACGACAAGCATCTGGCACGCTACAAATCAGAGTGGTCAAAAGCATTTAATTCACCTGGATAAAACTGAAATCAAATATTTACAATTCAAGACCGACTTTCTCCAATGCGTATATATATCAAGTACTTCAGGAGGTGAGTATTCGGCCCTCCGTAACCTAAACACCACAACCATCAAATCCCTTCTTGAGAAATGTGACATGCTGGTTGGAGAGACGAAATCACTGAACACAAAGTCCCAATCATCTTGGCTGGCAAAACAATGGTCAGTAGCCTTCCACATGAATTCCCATTAAAAATATAGTCATGTTCAGGCACCACTCTCCCGACTCATGACGAAATATACGTTTTGATATACCTGATCAATAGGGTCGTTAATCCAGCTTCTCAATCTACCAACTGAACGCCTTGATTTCTAATATTCTACACTGAATTTTATGAATCCCGTCAACTCTAAACCACACGGATAATCGTGCAATTTAATCTAAAACAACAGTTACTGAGTATCCATAAGACTACTTAACAGTAGATAAATTTACGAACTAGTCCTTCTGTCTCAGACATACATGCTTACATTTTCAGAGGAATACATTAAACGTTCAGTTCCCACTTGCACGTAATTATACTTCTCCATACAGACGACTCAACTGGGAGTCAAGTCACCTGACTGAATTGAATCACTAGATCATTTTACACACATCAACTCGCAAAAGGTCAATCTCACCAACACGCTCACAATAGAACAAACAGAAAACAAATAAACTACTGATTACCGGGACAGGATAGAATTCAAATCTGATATCCGCTGCCTGATATTGTGAGTTCTCTTGATTGTCACTACTTGAACTACTGGAGAAAGAGACAGTAGGCGTTTCGGTCCCAAGTGTTGAAGGAAGCAGCTCATCTTCAATCTTAAGAGGTGGAGGGTTATCACAAACTGGAGGCATCCACATGGCTTCTACAAAGCACAATTGAATAACATTACCACTATGTATTCAAGAGTAAAACTTCATATAAGTTAGACTGGAATATTTATTTACAAGTTACAACTCGAACAATCTATTGAGAACGCAACAGTTTAACAGTCATTACATTCATGATTGCAGACCAACTGACCGAAGAAACGACTAAACTCACATCGGCAGCGTGCACAAACCAAACTGTGAAGCTAGACTATTAAAACAAATCAACCTACAATACGAGCGTACTACCTCTACAATAACGCTTATGAAACTAACTCATGTGACCATATTTTACTTTTACACAATCTGATTTTACACATGTTCAGTGAAAATTTGCCACTGTATAATCCAGAATTTGCTTTCGATTGCTTCATATGCACTTCGCCGAGTTAAGCAGGCTACCATTTGTTTCGCGTACTTCAAATATTTGATTTCGCTTACAATACACTTTCTAGGTTTTCATCTGTGCTGATAAATACAGCAGTGCTCGTATTTGGCCATGTGCAGCGTTCAGCACATTGTAAAGCGTGAAAATTTTGATGCACCACAGCATAATAATCGAATTTGCATACAGTCCGCCATGGAGAGAAGGTGGGGTTTCGCTTATTCCGATTCCTCTCCCGTCCCACCATCCTCGTATGTCAATCCACACATGAGTCAATACGCCCAAATTACAACAGTTCGAGTGAGCTCATCTTGATTCAAGTGAAGAGGGATCGTTCTCATGCGAAAGCCCACAATCAATTCGGACACATTCAGACCGCCTAAATGATTATTCTACAGCTGGTGTACAGAAGGAGGACAGGGTCAATCACTGTTTCTGTCAATGAAAGTGAGCATCGAGCGTTTGTTTTTTCAATTGGTAGTCGTTGTTGGGCAACTCGAAGGCGCGAATGGTTCAATCGTGTACTAGTTCAACGAAGACGAAGAAAAACTAATGAAAGTACATAATAAATTTGTATAAAACATTTGTTTGTAGACTTGTACTGTTCTCCACTTTAACTGCCAAACATTAAAACTTCCTTCTTACAATACTGGTGTTTCGGAGTTAAAGTCAAAGAAAGTACATAGTATTTATCAGTGCGGAGCGTCTTCGTAACAACAGGAACTTAGGGATAAGTTCCTTGACAGCTTTTATTCCTCTTCTGGAGTGCCTTCTGGGGCAGTTTTTATTCCTCTGGAACCTCCGGGTTACTAACTGGATCTGAAGCCAGATTCTCTTTGGACATGGGTTATCAACGCAATTTGGATCCTTTGGTGACGTTGGCTAATGCCTGGGCCAAGGAAGGGAAGTGGCACCATGGAAACAGACAAAGAAGTAAGTAACGATGAGTTGCCTGTTAATTGTAATGATATGCACGATGCTCAGCACGATGAGTCTGATGTTTACGCTTCACCGTTTAGGGATAGTAGTTCTTTAAGACTCCCTAAGTTTGAACCTCGGTACTTTGATGGAAACCGAGCCGACTACCCACAGTTTATCAAGGAGTTTGAGGTCTTGCTGGGTGGTTTTATTTTAAATGACGAAATGAAGTTAATGTACTTGATGAGGTATTGCACTGGTGTTGCTGCAAGTTCATATCCCCTAACGAAGGAGACACAGAGGCTATGAGGTTATTACGTCAAAGGTTTGGAGAGCCATTTATGATATTCCCGTAGTATTTTTGAAACCGTGAAAGGTAGTGGATCACAGTTAAACGACAATTCAGAGGAATTCACTGAGTTCTTGGACAGCTTAACGGTATATAGAAATACTCTTGTGTCTCTTAATTGCGTAGATGAATTGAATTCAAGTTCCGTGCTTGAGACTGTGGCCAAGAGATTCTGTCTGTCTGTTTTCGACGTAGAACTTTGCACATATGTGCAAAGAGATTACCAGTTCATCCGCAAAGAAAGTTCATAAAGATCAGTTCAAGTCTAGAAGAGGACGGTGTAGAGCCCGGGTTGGATGATATTGTGAGCCTGTTGAAAGACAGTGTCAGCCAAGCTTCGAGCGAGTTTGCTAATATGCTGCGTCCCACTCCTCGAATAGAGAAAACAGAGAGCAAAACGCAATCATTTATGACGAAAGAGTCTCAGGGGAGTGGATTTCGAGAAAGCTGTATGGCGCCTAGTAATCTTTAGAAACCTGATGTGTGTGAGAACTTTCGTGGGACGTCCCCAACAGATAGGTTACAAGCTGCCAGAAAAACACGGTTGTGTTTCGTCCGTTTGCAAGAAGTGCATACAAAGGTGAACTGTGAATCAGTGAGCAAGTTTAGTGGTAAGCTAAATGTGGAGTCAGCGTCAGCAAGCTCTGACTCCGAACCGTGTGACGATAATGGTGCAGTGAAGAAGCCTGTAGCTGCAACTGGTACGTCTTTGTTGAACAGAGTGTCACAGACTAAACCGCAGTTTGTGCAGAAGAAGAAAGTTACAATTTCTGAGTCAAGTTCTGAATCCACAAGTTTTCCAGGTATTACCAGTGAGAGTAAAGGTATGAAACCTTTAGGTATTTGTGAAGGGGAACCAAAATTGTCTACTTCTGCTATTAAAGAGTTTGAAAATGTTGAAATTGACGGTAAAGTGAATATTTGTGATAATGATCATGATAGTGCACATTTGTTTTTGGTTGATCATGATGAGATGAGCGGAATGCCTACTACTGCTGAGTCGAAAACGTTTCTGTACAACTTGAACGTGAAGTAGAATTAAATGCAGATGCAGTTGCAGAAGGCATACATACTTGTGAGACCGTCAGTGTAAATGATCAGCGTGTAGCCCACCTGTCGACAGATGTTAAGGCTGAACTGGAGCTAATAATAAAGGATAGCAGTGGCGATGATCTTGCGGTTAGACAACCTTCTAAAGGTCGAAAACAATAGCTTCCGATCCACCGCTAACTTCATCAACTGGTATCAATCAGTCGTCGTCGGTGTTGCCATCCACAATGAAAGGGATGTCCATGAACTCACGTGTCTTATGCTATGACTATGATAGTATCGGTCCGTTTGATAAGACGAAAGATATCGCTCAGTTTAGTGAGGATAAGCCAACTGTGTACGATGGTGTAATTGTTAAATTGACTTGCATAAATAAAGGTTTTCAAGTTCCAAGTTACCATTTGAATGCCATTATCTTTAGTGCAAATTACTCTCTTTCTACGCTTGGTCCGTCAGATACGTCGTGTGTTTGTTAGTCATCTATATTCTACGATACAGTAACATGGGTGTCTCACTGTTCAGATTTGAGGATATAGATGATAGGAGGTCAGCAATTGAACTCTGCGACGATTTTCCAACCTAGGGCGTCAACCTGAGAAGGGTTGTAGGCGCACTGCTGTAAGTCCTGCAGTTCTTCAAGGGTAGTTCGTCAAGGCAGAATCCACAACATTTGATGTATGATTGTACATATATTTGTGTTAAGTAATTGAGTGGGTTCCAATTCATGTAATTGTTGGTTAATCCTGTTTGTGTCCGGACATTCTTCAACTTACAATCGTCAACCTGAGAAGAGTTGTGGCGTACTGGTATAAGTCCTGTGATTCTTCAAAGGGATTCCGTTAAGTCATGATGTGCGGGGTCAGGTGCATTTTGTGTATATATGTGTGGTGTGTCATATAATTTGGTGGTTTTGGATTCATTGTGTTTACTTGTTGTTTTCGTATCTTGTTGTTATTGCATAATTTTGTTAAATTGCTCGTCGTGCTTGCTTCTGAAGTTGCTTCTAGTCTTCCGCATCCGTGAATGAACTGATTGATGTCAAAGACAGCGGATGGTTCGTATACGCCGTGGAGGCCAGGCTAGTCTGAGAATGACATGCACAGGGAGATAATGATTATTTATTTATTTTTCATTACAGCTTGATTCCCCACTGTATTTTTGGTACAAGTATGAAATTTTCGGCTTTTCGACTATTACGCTACATTTTGGTCATAAATAAAATCTCTTATAACTCTAAAATTTTATGCAAAGTGTTTGCGGAAATTATCACAATTATTAACCTTTCGAACACTGAATCCAAAAAATACAATCTTATTGACAGATAATACACATAACTCACTGTTTGGATTTGTGGAATTTTTAAACATAAACACATCTATAATTGTATATATTGTTGGATTTATATGTTCAAGTTGCTCCAAGTCAGTGAGTTTATGGTTAAGATATCATTTTAGTTAACTGTACTGAACTATATTGCATGTTGTCTTATTGTATAGTTGTCGTCGCTTTTTGCCCTTTTTTCTGTGAACTGTTTCCTTTGTTGATGTTGTTCTCATTGTTTGTCCGTTATTTTCTGATTTTGAGGGGAGCAACCCAAAAAGTTGCTTCTCTCTAAACTTTTACTTAATGTAATCATTCTTTTCTCAGGCGTGAGGCTAGCAACCCCACCCTGTAAACAAAGTTGCTACAGAACCTTCAGCAAAATGAACCTCTTTGCACCAAAAGAAAAAGTCTGTGTAGGAACATGGAACGTCCGAACTATGTACGAGACTGGAAAAGCTGCCCAGATCGCCAACGAGATGAAAAGATACGGAATACAAGTGCTGGGAATATGTGAGAGCAGATGGAATGGGAGTGGACTCACCAAATTGTCAACAGGTGAGTCAGTGATCTACTCCGGTCACCCAGAAGATAACCACACGCACACCGAGGGCGTGGCTATCATGATGTCACCAACGGCAACGAAAGCCCTGATACAATGGGAGGCGATTTCGTCCAGGATAATGACCGCCAGGTTCAACTCCAAAGGAAGGAAAGTGTCAATCATACAATGTTATGCACCCACAAACAACGCAGACCTCGAGAAGAAAGAAGAATTCTACAGGCAACTACAGGCAACAATGGACAATACTCCAGCTGGCGACATGAAAATACTAATGGGAGACATGAACGCCAAACTGGGACCAGACAATACGGGAAGGGAACTCATCATGGGTAGAGAAGCTCTAGGAGAAATGAATGAAAACGGAGAACTCTTCGCCGACTTCTGCGCCTTCAACGAACTGGTGATTGGTGGCAGTGTATACAAGCACAAAGATATCCACAAGGCTACATGGGTGTCACCAGACGGGCAAACCAAAAACCAAATCGACTTCATCTCAATCTCAAGGAAGTGGAGGCGCAGCCTACTGGACACAAAAGCAAGAAGAGGAGCAGACGTTGGCTCAGACCACTATCTCGTACAAGGGACAATCCAAATCAAATTAAAAGCTTTCAAAGAAGGAGGAGCTGCAGATAGACCACAAGCCAAGTTCAACAC